ACGATTCCTCAAGTTGTGGTCTACTAGGAATTTTTGGCACCTGCCAAGATAAGAGTCGAGAAAACGCGAAGAACATCAAGGAACTTCATGAATACACGATCAGGTTGACAGAATATGTTGCTGAATACGAAGAACAGGTTAACGAAAAGTTCTTTTTAGTTGCTGACAAACTTTCCGAAGTTAACAATATTCAGAAAGAGATGATCAAGAACCAACAAGAGAATTGGAAAGTGATCGAGGACCAGTTCACAGTAATCAAGAACAATTTTGAGATCCTTAGGGACTGTGATCAATATCTATTCTCAAACCAGCAACTGAACTTTAACTTCGATACAGCGGCTTCTCTTCTGTCGCTTCTTTACTCAGATGTCAAGAGTTATAGAGCAGCGCTGTACGCTTTCAAAACAAACATAATGAATGCCATTCCTACATTGTTGGACAAGCGACTCACGATGTCGTTAGTACCTAGAAATTCACTGATCGCGATTCTCAATTCAGTATATGAAAGCCAGAAAGACGCAGCAGACAGACTAACACTAGCCATTCCGACAACCGACTTGCATTCCTACTACGATGCAAAACTTCTTCGAGACGTCGTGACGGTCGATGAAGGCCTACTAATGACTCTGGCGATACCGATGTCATCAAGTCTGACAGTCTTCTCTGTATATCGAGCACATTTGATCCCGATGCCACAACCGGAGCAGAAGGATGCGATAAAGTGGAAAACTGAAGGAGACTACTTCGCGATTTCGGAGAACGGAATGGAGACATCCGTGCTCACGCGAGAGCAGTACGAAATGTGTCTCGGTTCATCTACCTACAGGATTTGCCATCAGACGATGGAAACTCAATTGGGCAGATCATCGTGTCTCGTAAACCTCTTCTGGCCAAATCCAGTAGCAACTCTGACCGTCTGTGAAACGGAAAAGGTCATACTACCTACTCCAGAAAAGGCCACGAATTTAGGATACGGTATTTGGCTCATTACATCAGCCTCTTCATCTTTTTCTTTGTGGGAGTACAACCTGAATGAGGTTCACACTCCATCTCGCAAGGAACATCCAGGATGCAACATATGCATCATTACACTAGATTGCAGGACGCAATTAGCTTCACGGAACATTAAGATTCGACCCGACCTTGGAAGTTGCGACAAGATTCCGGCAAGACGAATCGACGTCAAACTGTCCGACCCATTGAAGCACCTCATGTCGGAAATTCCGGGGATAGATGAACTACCATATTTCAAATCAAGAACAGACGCGGGGATTAGACTTTTGGAAGAAGTAAAGGCGAAACTTGTAGACAGCCCGATCGTGACAAACATGGAACAGTTGGATGAAATATCGAAACCAATCGCGCACGGAATGAAACTTCTAAAACCATCGTTTACTGAAAAACTCGAAAGCTATGTCCCAATAAAACTTTCACTGACCTTAACCGTAATTGTCTTCATTGGAAGCACGTTGCTTCAATGCCTGTGCACTTACCTCTTCCATAGATTTAAAGCGGTCAGGGATATAACACCACGATTCCTGAAAACAGCGCATGGTGACATCCGAATAAAGCCCGTAGTAGCAATGGACATCGATGAAAGCGAGAGAGACGAGAAGACAACCAGACTCATGGAATCGAGAGAGGAATGGCAGAATAAATACACTGTACTGGACGTGATTGATGAAACTGTTTCGGTGCCACAACAACGTAGTCAAATTGATGATGGAATGTTAAATGACGAGGCGAGATCAATGAGAGGCAGCAAAATGGACATGGCAAGATCAAGATCATTCAGCGAAATACCAGGAGATCAAAGGACAACGTCCAGACACATTAACGGAGAGTTTAAACTGACTCCTAATTCAGGAATTCTAGGCATGAAACCACCATCAGTTGAAATTGGAGCCCAGTATACCGAGCAGACGGCCTAACCGTTAGGGAAAACTGAGACAAGAGCAAGTTTCCATTACAATTTTCATTAACTGAAACCTGAGTAAAATCACTCAATTGATCAAATCATAAATGACTGACCCTAATGACTCTCATGGTGGCTTAATGAAGAATCAAACTCATAATGGCTGAAATCTTTAACATATTTGCGCAGAACCTAAGTTCTGATACTTTTTTCATTTAATTACAACTTATAAAGTGTTATAATCTGTTAATTTCAATGAGTGTATACTCGCTTTATATTGATTAATAAATAAAATGTATTTGTTCCCAAGTTAAATCCTTACAGTTTAACTCCACGTGTTTTGATTATTTTAAAATTAGCGTTAAAATTGATTTAAATTTAGTGAAATTGAATTGTACCGTATAACTGTTGCTAAATTTATTGCGAAGTAAATTATTGAATTAAAAGCGATTTGATGCACATTTAAATTACTATGATTTAGAGTTTTGACGTAGCAGTTTTCTTTTGAAATGCAGCTAAACGAAGTAGACTAAAGTTTCGCTTAAAATTTTACCCATTTTATTCATTTGAAATTCTTACCTCAGTGCTAATTCCAATCAATGCGTAAAATTTATGTAAAAACAGGTTATGTGACACCTCTAAAGTGATGTCATTGATAGCCATGAAATTATTGCCATATTAGAAAATGTATAATGTTAAAATCTCAAGCATGCAGTTGAATAACTTATTATTGACACAATGTAAATAGTGTGTTCAGAATTGAGAAGCAAGCGATAGTTAGTCTAATAAACAGTCAGAAAGAGAAATTGAATAAAACTAACCAAAAGCTAAATTGTTAGTGAGCTGAAGATTAGGGAGAGATTCATGCTGTCGGGGCCCAAGCGTCCGTGATAAGATACTGCAACAATAACATCTAGAAAGAACATGCAAATAGAGACCAACATGCAGTATGTCATATTTGTGCGTGTCTGTGTTTTGAGGGCGAGGGGACTTAATAACTTCTCATTAGTCTAAAAAATTACGCGTTTTTTTGTGTTTTCCTTTTCCTTTTTTTCGACTTGATAGGTTTCGGCTTATATTGCATCGGCTTAGCTGCCACATTTTGCGTCTCTTCACTAGCTGATTATGCGTTTTGTGGGGGAATTAATAACTTCTTATTTGTCTTAAGTTTTTTTTTCGGCTTTGTTTTGTTTTCCTTTTAAAATTTTTTCGGCCTATAAGGTTTTGTGCTAAGCGATTTCCGGCTTTGTTACCGCTTGATACCTTTTCTTTCTATGCTCATTTCACATTCTATTGTCTCGGCCCGTTTTTCTTTCAAAACTAGCCTTATCGATAGATCTAACTTTTTTTCGAATTTTGCGAATTTTTTTTTGACTTAGCGGCTTTCTTGTTTTTTTATCGCAAGTGGTGCGAAGCATACCTTGTTTTTTTTTCAATTTTTTGCAAGTTTTTTGGAGTAATTCAAGTTCTTTTTTGTGGCAATTGTTTGAAAATTGTGGCTTTTTTTGTCAATTTTTTTCTTTCAGTATGATCTTAGTTTATAGCAAATAACGGAAAGGGCTTCGTTTTGTCCTCAGTTGTTTTTGTATGATATGCAGGTTGGTTGGTTGCAGAATTTTAAGTTTTTAGAAAGGTTTAAGACTTAGGATATTTTTGATCTCGATTTTTTGACCAATTTTATTTTATTGTTTCCATCTGCTGATTATGAGAAAAAAGGAATGGAATTTGTGTAGCCCGAGTCATTTTTATGTGTTGTAGTTTTTTTTTATAACATTTCAATAAGAGTTTTATTGATTTTTATAGCCTACAACAATTGATGTTTTTCTACTTTTCGTTTGAGACATCTTATTTTTTGATTTTTGGCAAAGTTTTTAATGACACCATTTTCTTTTTGCTCAAAAATTGTTTTTGAATTTTTATTAAACGTCGTCAAATATGTTTCTGGACGTGTTTTCCGCAAATAGAAGATCATTCCAGATAACCTTTTGAATTTTTAAGTTGTGGTTTTTTCGAACATTTTTCCGTTTTCGTTGGTCTTAGTGACTTTCCTGATTGCTAGCTTGCAATGCTGTTTTTGTGGTATCGCAAGTCTCGAAATGCTTGCATAACGTTTACAAACAATCAACTGTAAAAAAAACTGCGCATGGCGCGAATTAACTAATTATTATAAAATTGCTTACGAAGAAAAAAATTTGTTGGGAATAATTTTTGAAATTTTCAAGTGATCTCTCAATTGGAATTGATTCGTTTTTCTGTTGAAGGTATGTTTTTATTTTTTCTTTAAATTTCTTGCATGATGTGACCAATCTGATTTCTTTAGGTAGTGATTTCCTTTTTTATACAGCCTCTTGTTCTTGATTCTTTTCCTTTTTGTTGCTCGATCGACGCTGGGGTATTACCTGTACCGTTCTCTTGTTTGATTGCAGCTTAAGTGTTCAGTAGACAAAAAAATTCCTGGTCTTCGTGTTTTCTTAAGCAATCGAAAGATTTCAAAGACTCTTTTTCGTTATCGATAGCTGTGTTGGAAATATTGCCTTTTAACAAGACTTGTAAGATGAGCTGAACTCAAAAAAGATTCACTGGTTAGACTTTTTGCCCTAAACAATCGTAATCGTAACAATTTTAATCGGAGCGATATTTTTATAGCTTTCGGTTTAAACTAACTGAAATTCTCTTATGTCCCAAGGAGACCAATTCCATATAATTGTTTATTAATATTCCACCAAGTGCAAATAATTAATAAAAATATCTGTATTGTTTTTGGCTTTTGAAGTGTCCTGCAGAGGTTAGTTTGGCATTGTCAATTGCGCAAACTCTAGACGAATCTTAAACATTGAGATAGAGTCAAGAAAGTGGCTAGGAGCCAGTCAATCTCAAATTGACCGTTTTCATTTTGTTTTCATTCTTTCTGACCTCTGTTGGCGCCGCAAGATTTACCTCGTTTGGATAATTTTGAATTGTTTGAAAATTGACCGCTTTTTTCTGATCTTTACTATTGAAGTTTCAATTACTGAAAATTGTTACACTCGCGAGAGAAAGTGCATTGCAATCGCGCTCGACATTTTTTTCCGCGAACAACTTTCTCAAGACGCATCTACTCAGGTCTGGCTGTGATTGAGACCTCCCAACAGACCTGTTGACCAACAGACTTGTTTTGAGCTTGCTGTCATTTCAGATACCCGTTCAATTTTAGATAACCCTTTTTTCGACACAACAGTCTATTAAAGTCTTGTCGATTTAGTTAGGTAAGGCTCGGTTAAGGCTGTAGTTTTGGTAGATATCGTTTTGTCATTTTTTTCTCAAACTACGCGACTTTCGGCTGATTTTTGTTAAGCTATTTTTGTGATGAATCTCAAGTGATGCGAAGTAATGCTTTTTTCTGTTATTTATCTTCGTAGCCAATTGAGATGTTATCAGTGAAAAGGGAGCTAGAGAACGGCACTGCTCTTGAAATAATTTAAACTCGACGTTTTTTTTACAGTAAAGTTTTTTTTACGCCTGAGAAGCGGCTTAAATTTTTGCATTGCTATTAGTCATTCGCGGTAATTCGTACTCAGGACGACCTAAAGATTTTTTGTTCAGTTTTGCTGCAAAAATGCAGAACAGGCAGCGTTAATCTAGCGCAGCTTAACTTTTTGAAGGCTGATTCTTAGTTTTCTCGAATCACTCTTTTTTCTCGATTTAATTAATTGACTTGAATTAATACGGCTTTTCGTCGCTTTTTGAGCTTCAAGAGATTGGCGCTATGAAAACAATTTAAATAATTTCGAAGTTTCGTTGCGCGATCGGTTCGCTTGAAAAATTTCAATCTATTGCTAACCGTTTGCGCTATGAACTAATTTGAAGTTTAGTAGCTTGACGAGCTTGCTAACAACAGCAAGTTTTTATGAACCGACTCAAGCTATGAAGTAGAATAAACTATAAGTGAAATTTGTATCTTGAAAAGTTTCTTTGCCCTTGCTTGAATAGCTTCTTTTGCCCTGTTTTTTGGAAATTTTCTGCTTTTTTGGACTATTGTCGGTCTGTTCGTTTTAGACGGCTTAGTTCCCGCAGCACGGACACTTTTTGATGGTTCAGTTTTCTTCTAATTTCGTGAATGCCATTTAAAAACACCATTGTTGGAGGTAATTCAGTCACAAGTTTTTTGCGGTTTTAAATTTTTTTTAAAAATTTTAATACATTTTTTAAACACAAATATGGTTGAAAAATTTTCTTTCATTTTTTGCCCTGTCCATTAATGTGCACTAAATTTTTACGTAGCAAGCGTTAGAAGATCAAAGCAAAGTTGTTGGCAATATTGATGACCTTGAGCAACTAAATCGGAAAAAAAGGCTGTTTAGACAAATAATAATGTTAAACAGGGTATTTTGTGGTGAAACGATGAGCTGTCAAAATGAGTGGGTTTATTTTCATTTTTTTGTTCAAATTTGTCCATTCTTTTGTCAGGGTATTCTCTAGAGTTTTTTATACTCCAATGGAGGCTCAAAATATCCGATTCTAAAATATTGATAAATCCTGCCAAATAAAAGCAGCAGTCACTTGTTATTTATATCGCGCTTAAAAGGGCTTAAAAATTTATCTGAATGAAAACCAAATCATAGGGTCGAAAAATTAAGAATCAAGTTTTCATCACCTAAATTACTTGATCTGCTAGAGAATTAATTCAAGCTGTTAAGTTCAAGCTGTTAACTGTATCATAGCTGTAGTTTTTAACCGAACGCTTTAGATTTGTTCTTACTTCAAAGCTTGCCTTTAGAATAGGACTGAAAATCTCAAGAATTCGAAAATTCATCCTGTAAATACAGTTTGCTAAAAGTTTAAAAACTAGTGCACAGTTAAGCCATTAGAGTAACTTAAGTTTAATACTGAAAAACAAATTTCCTTATTACACTACGAAGAATTTTTTTCTAACGTAAGTCACAAATTAAAGTGCTCGTTTGAGTTTCATTTTAATCATTTTTAAGCTTATTTAAGCATAACCAATTCAATGGCATATGTTGCTGTTTTATTTCTCGCTAGTGTTAGATCCAGTTTGAAAATAAAAACATGTATTATGAAAATTATGGGATTGTTTTTTTTTTCGTATTTTTTGCGATGCTTTGGAAATTTTTTGCTTTGTTCGCAGAAAATTCAATTTTTCTCAAAAACTACTGTACTGATGTTCGCAAAATGGCACCAAAGAAAAAACGGCTGCTCTTCTATATGCCTGCAAATTTCGCTAGACGTTCTACGGCCTGCGAAATCTTCAGGAGGGGGATTTTTATCATTTATTTTGAATTTTTTCATTTTCTCAAGTTTTAAATGCACAAATCTGAGTTGAAGGTTTCAATGAAAAGAAAAAAATTAAGGGGATCTTCCGCTCTCAAGCGGCTATTCAGTGTATGTAGCAGAAAAAAGTTATGACATCAAACAAGCCCATTTTTTGACATTTTGGTTAATTTTTGAAAAATTTTCACTTTTCCCTTAAACTACCCTGCTAAATTGGAGTTTAAGGGCTCAACTAAAAGAAAAAAACTAGTTATGCGAATCTTATGCCCTGCGTCTTGACAAAAAATATGGCCCTAGAAGATGTCCACTTTTTGAAATTTTGCCCGCTTTTGGAAAATTGTTCTTTTTTTTTTCAAAAAGTAACCTGCTGATTCTGAGCTTAATAGTTCATTAAAACTAAAATGGTGCTCAAATTTTCCCTGCGTAGCCTGTTTTTTCCTGTTTAATTTCTAAAAAAGCTGATATGGACTTCCGAAAAGTTCCTCTACCGTCACTATTTTAGAAATCTACTAGCTAAATCTGATATTAAGGGTTCAATCTAAAAAAATCAGGGTGCGGAAATCTTCAATCCAAAATTCAGGGTGGGAAAAGCCGGTATTCCCATGCTTCACAGAGAAATTTTTATGGACGCTGGTAAATTTTAAATTTTTGATCGATTTTTGGAATCTTTGCTTTTTTTCGAAAAATAACCAGCCAAATCTGAGATGAAGTCTTAAATTGAAAGAACCAGTAGCGGTTTTCTCTAAATGAGCGGTTAATCCCCTATTTAAGGTGAGAAACACTAGGGTTTTGTGTAAAGTGCATTTTTTAAGAACAGGTAGATCCAGCATTAGCTGGGCCACTAGTTTACTCCCAAGCGATCTCGGCGCAGATGAGAGGACGTGATACTCCTGCTCCCAACAAAAATCTTTTTTCAAGGTGTATTTTTTATCTTTTTCATTTTGTTTTGCCTGTTTAGAGATCTTTTTTGCATTTTCCTCGCTTGTGTTTGCGAAGCGCAGCTTCGCCTCTGTGTGTAACAAGGTGCAATTTTTTGGCAACATTTTTGCTCGTATGTCAATGAGCGAATTGGATGCACTTATTTAGAACCTGTTTTTTTCAGATAAAAATAGTTCTTTGTGCTCAAACTTAAAATTCCCCGGCTTGATTTTCCGAGTTTTTTTTTCAGCTCATTTCAAAATTTTTTGCTAGAAAAAAAAAGAAAATTATGCTCTGCAGTAACGAAAGTGCATTATTTATCATACTGAAGTTTCAAAATTGAAATAATATTTGATTTGTTCAGTGCAATTTAAAAATTTACCCAGCGATCCAGTTTTTATCGAACTGGGCTATTTTTTAATCAAAAAAGGGCCAAGAAGGTGAAGGTGATATCTTTTTTTTGTTAAGCTCAGTTTTTTAATAAATGGTCATTTTTATTCTGGATTTCCTTAAAACTTTTCCAACTGTCCTTTTATTTCACCATTCCAAATCGAAATGACCTTTAACTTTGGTGGAATTTTTGTAACGGAAAAAATATATTGATTTTTTTGAAATGTTTTTTCAATTGCATTTAATAAATAGTGTTTTTAATTTATTCTGTCAGCACTCCTACATTTTCAAAGTGTACTAGATTTTTCCACAGGATGTAGTTTTTTAGTGTTTTACTTTGAGATCAATGAGATTTTGCGCTTCCTCTGTTTGTGTCACCCACTGATTAATCCCTCTGAAATTTGTTCGGCCTTAGAACATCTTGAATAATTGATGGCTTATGTCAATTTTTGTATCCAATTTACCCCTGTGCCCTGTGTTTGACAAATATACCCGGCACACTCGCATAATATCACCTAATAATTGCCTCCTTTGTCCCTCTTCTGTGCCCAAAATAGCTTCCTCTTTATTTTGCGGAACAAATTATCTCGTTGTTGATGAAAAGCCGACATCCTAAGGCTTGAAAATGCCACGGAAAATAAAAAAACGTCGAATGTAATTAACTATGCAGTCACCTATTTTGATTGTTACCGAGATACCGTCAAAGATCGAATTAAATTGCCATTGAACATCTGAAATTTTGCCGCAAAACTCAATCTAATCGTCTTGAAAGGCACACAAATTGACTGGAATCGAATTTCCTTTTAGTGTAGTCCTTCGTTTATCAGTTCTATTACCGGGAAAGAACGTTTCTTAGAGTTTGTAGAATTCCGTTTATTTTAAATTTAATCCCATTTTTATGATAATTACTCTTGCGATAAGCAAAGGTTTTGCAATCGGGTACTTTTTTGCCTTAAATAACTTAATTCGTAGGATCTCCAATTTTGGAAGATCCACAGCTTCACCCAATTTGCACAGCTCTAGTTCTTGGTTAAGAGATACTGTGTTAAGAGTTAATGAGGTACTAGGAGTGCAGCTGAAAAAAACTTGAGATGTAAATTGATTTTCTGTAGGCTTAATTTATTTTGTCCCAATTTTTGTCTGCTTCTTTGGCGGTTGTTTTTTCAGTAACATTATTCAATTCAATTGCTTCATTCAATTCAAGAAGAACGTAATTATGTTTCATTGATTTTTCTCTATACACGTTGAAATAATCAGTTTGAAAACAAATTTTCAAGCGATTTTTCGATTTTTTTTCAGATTCTGATTTTTTTCCTGAGAGTGTGCAGTTAGTTTAAAGCAACTTAGCGTCATATTTTTTGAGCAGTTTCGTTTTAATTTCATTCAAGGTGACGACACAGCGTAATGTTTTGATGTCTAAAAATTGCTGTGAGGTACTCTCAGAGTTTGCGAATCTTGCCTCCTAATATGACTGCTCAAATCCTTGTAGTTTTCAAGGTGTGTTTTTTTAATTAAAAAAAGATTTA